AACAAATCAAAAAGTTTATTGTGCAATTTTAAATTAAAGATAAAATAATCATCATTGTTAATTCAATTCAATTTTATTAGTATTCCATCCATACAATTAAATTTAATTATAAGATTTAGTGTTTTATTCTCAATATAAAAATTATAATATGTTATCAATTAAATTAAATTAAATTACTTATAGAATTGAATTCAATTTCACAAGTATTTCATTCCAAACTATTTATAAAACACAATTGAAACTTGAGAGTTTAATTTAGGTTTTAATTTAGGTTTATATATATATAAAAAAGTAAAAGGTGGTGTACTTGGATGGTGTTTATTGCTATGATAATGCATTTTTTTAAAGTGTGTTGGTTTGAGAATATATTAAAATAATATTTTTTAATTTTTAAAAAATATTTTTAATATTTTCTTATTAAAACATGATTTAAAAATATAATCTAAAATAAAAAATAATAATTAAAAAATAAAACACGGCGGAAACAAATAGGGTCTGAGGAGGCAAAAACAAGTCTCAGCCAGGAGTGGCCATGCCGCCATTCATGCATGGATGGTGAACACGAACAACACATGGTTTCTTCTTCCCCATGTTGCTGCGGGTTATAATTACTGTATTTTCTTCCCCAAATCAATCATCAGTGGCATCCAAGTCTTTGGCACCGGAGCCAACTTACATACGAATAGAATATGATCAGCAATGGCCGTGGATCAGTTGTTGCCATCGAAAACTTTAAATTAATATAGTTTTATATTTTTTAATATTTTGATATATAAAAAATATTTTTTAAAATATAAAAAAAATATTATTTTAATAAATTTTAAAAAATATATATTTTAAAAAACAACCCCTATTATATTTCTAAATATCTTTTAATATAATTTAATTTGTATAATTTGGATAGAACATCACATTTAATTAAATATAGCAAGCAAATTACTTCATATTTTTTGCTATTTCCCTTGATCATTTATCTTGATGGATTGGACGGTAGCTTCAAGGCCATGGATGATCGACGAGTCGAGGTTCACATTGCAAACAATGAATGCTCCTCCTGGAAGCTGCCCTCTGAATTTTTCAGCTGTTTCCATTGCATTATCATATAGGTTATGCATATCCTAAAATCTCGGAGCATTAATCTTTTTTCAGGCAACCGATGTTATCATCCATGGCATGATGATTCACCAATTAAGGCACGGGGACCTAGCTCAGTAATGGCGCACATAATGGAAATGCAATGGCAAGAGGTCAGGAAGAAGGTGATGCAATCAGGCTGATCAGTGCATCTTGGGCTTGGACAGACCACAACACACTCTATCCTTGCCAGGATATCTCAGAAGGCAACACAGATGAATGGCTTTGATGAGAAAAGCATGTCATGGAACTTCTACTGTGTGGAGGATTTATTTGAAAATGGAGCTTCTTTTAATCAAACAGGCATAGGTAAGGCAAAGCCTAACAGCAATATTCAAAAATGGCTCATGGTTGCAAATGCCATATATGCAAGGTCAACAAGAAGTTCATCGGGTGCTTTAAGGTGCTCAAATTCGAGATGCTGATCCAAAACTAACAGAGAAAAGGATGAGCATTTCAACAAGACCATGGAATAACTACATAAAACAAAAATTGTATAGTATAGCTTTGGAAAACATAGAATTCACAGCGAGATACTAGTGGTCAGATAAAGAGCCTAATTTTGTACTTGTGAAAACATTACAACTATCAATAAAAGAACATTCAATGCACTGTACCAACGCATCAGCACATTATTATTGATTCTAGTCTTCTTCTTCATCAGAACTTGCATATGCTAAACCTAGCAAACTTTTAACAGGATTTTCCTCAGCCTCATTTTTAACATTTGTCTCATCTTCTGGTTTGCTTGGTGCTGGTAAAATGTGCTCTTTCTTTTCCTGGTTAACCTTGATTTTATTGTCTGAATCACGATCACTTGAAATTGGGGTGGAATAGTTCCCATCAGATGAAACTTTAGGTCGTTTTGGTTTGACTTCAACCACCTTTTTCAGCAAGTCTTGCTGCCTATAATCAAGAAAATTTCAGAAGTCAAACCAGCACGGGAAGCTAAAAAGAATTAACCTTTTTAGCTGAAACATAAAAGGTTAAGAGCATGCTGGGACAGAAATACCTAATTCCACTCTTTGGCTTGGGTTCAACACGAAATGACAAGGGAACTGATGCGGGTGAAGAATCTGCCAGACTTGCAGCTTTGTACTCATTGGTTAGGGAAGATAATCAACAACAGAGAGAAGGGTCGCAATAAAGACAGCACTGCATTAGGATATGGTAGACTACCGCATGATAGACCTAGAATATAGGAATGCCAAAGTAATGATCCTTTAAAATCAACGGGGCATTCCAGATCAGCTAATTTAACGCTACGCTATTACAGTTGGAGGTTCAGGTATAAGATGAGACAAAAATATTGTACGAGTTTTATTAATGGAAAAAATTAAAGAGCATTCCAGGAAAATACTGATAAGGCATGCTTACAGCATAATAAAAAACAGTGTTCACCAATTTAGCATCTGAGTATGAAGTAACTCACTAAAAAACACAATTGTACCTGATTTTTTAATGGAAAAAAAAACAAGAATGGAAACATCAGTGATTAGTAGATGGATAAATATGTGAAAAGTAAGGAGAACTATGAAATTAAAAAGGCAGAGCAGATGCATTTTCCAACAACCACAAAGACAAGTTGTGAAAAACTACAAGATGAATGAGAACTGACTGACACAGATGTTTTTCTCAGTTTTTTAGATTATGAGCTGTTAACCATCGCAAAGTAAATAAATTTTGACCCTATAAACTACACATTAGAAGCTACTTGGATCAGCGTCATGAAAGATGTGATTGCATGGATGGCAGCCATCAACCAAAGCACAAACAACCACATGCTAGGACTGGGAAAGCAAGACTTCATTTATTAGAAGACGATATGGAAACAAAATTAGAAATAAATGAGCACAAGAAGGATATTTTAAAAGCAGCAAATGCCCTTTTCTCAGTGCGGCGTAAGAGGCGTTCTGCATCCTCTTCAGCCTCCATTTGCTCTTTGAGATAAAGTAAATCATCGCTATCCAGTGCTGCATAAACAAAGCTCACGAAGGTATATGTAAAAGAAGAAGTAGGTATTCCAAAAAAATAAAAAATAAATAAATATCCGGTGAAAGAATAGGTGGGTGTGTATATATATATATATATATGTGGAGAAAGAGAGATGGGGAGAGGTAGATACCGCCTCGGCCATGAAGGTAGCCACCACGTTCTCCAGCAACCTCTTGCATCTGTTAGCAGCATTGAATCAAAGCCAGAATCCCTGCCAGGGCATGTTATCAGAAACTAC